GAGGATCAAGAAGGGGCATTTCGTGATGTTTTTTTGGATCAAAGCTTTTTCGGGAATCTAATGTTTGTTCTGTTTTATTTTACAGGTAATGAAAGCTGGTGAACATTTTAAGAAACATTTCAATTGCTCCACTACCACATGTAAGCTTATATTGGTTTCTTTCTGTGAATCAAAGCTTTAGATCATGTTAGACTTGAGTAATTAGTTAAAGTCTTAAGTTTGAGAACTTTGAGCTCTAAGGTTAAGTCACTTAATAAGGCTTCTTTGCATTTTTGCTTAAATATATATTTTCCGTATACTAATTGTTTTTTATGTCTTAATGTCGATGAATTATCGCAGCTTACATGCCGCATTCGAGCCTGATTTACGCCGAATTAACAGAAGAAGAGAAGAAGCAAGCTCTGGAGAAAGCTTACGCACTCGATAACAGCCTCGATGGCCTAAGTTTCCGGTTGACCCAACTCGTCCTCTACAAAACTGATACGGAAGACAAGACGCTAGAGTCCTGGGAGAAAGTAGCCGAGTGCAATCTCAGTCCTTAAAGAAACACAAAACAAGTTTAGTTTCTGAGTTTGTAATAAAAGATCTCAAAATAACATTTACTTGAGTCTCGAGACCACAATGTATCGTCTCTATGATAGAATGATCTTACAAAAATTACTTTCCAACAATTTCACATGATCATTGTATTATTTAGAGAAAAGAAATTACCCACGAGCTTTTGTGAAAACAAAAGTCTTTTTTTAATGTTTCATAATAATTCTATAATATTTTCCTAGCTTCGTTCGATTAGTCCAAAAGGGATCAAATTCTCATAAAAAGGCATTTAAGTGCAGTTGTTTAGGCAATAATTATATAATTTTCTTTTGCCCAACAAGGCCACGATTTTTTAAAATGGTTTTAAAGGCACAATACATCTTAATAAAATAGCGATCGTGGTTAGGAATGGACAAACCGATCTACCATCTAGATTCTGTTCGGTTTTTATGGATTTTTAATGTAATTTCACTTTGGTACGGTTTAGTTTCATTTCGTTTTGGTTGAAAAATAAATTGAACATATATATAAAAAAATTAGCTTGTATTTGTTTTTCATATACATATATGTAATGAAAAATATAAAAGTTTACTTAGCTCTCGTTTTTTTCCCAATCCCGGTTGGTTCAATTACATCAATTGGTTTTGATTTCAGATTTTTTGAATTAATATATATCTACTCGATTTATTAAAAATAAAATAAAAAATCAGTTCAATTTCGTTTGGTTTGGCTTTTTCAGCTACAATTTTTCAAATCGTTGCAAATAGGAAATATCTAGAGAAAATTCAAAAAATACCACTTTACAAAAATGTTACACTTTTGAAATCTTTACAAAAATGTCATTTTTTTCAAAATTATTTTTCTTTATATTATTTATGTTTGGGTTAATTATGTTCTA